TCAGGAGAAATAGTTCATCACCTCTGGGAACACTCTCTGTATGAGTTCTGAACACAGATTATTTATTAAAAAGAAAAAGTATGTTCCAGCACCATTGCTATATCTCAGAATATTTGACAATGCAGAAAAGGCCCTTCCTAAGTTTCTCCTGGGCTCAATCGCTCTTCAGTTTTCTCAGTGAAATCTTTTTTTTTTTTTTCTGAAACCTTCGAGCTTTCTCTTCTCTTTCTCTTCTTTATTGTCTCAATGTTTTTGCTACATTTTTAAATGTCCATGAATCCTATTCACAGACTATCTCTTTTATACTAAAAAAACCTCTATGTTAAAAAAGATTAGTTAGGAAAATAATCAAAACGTGACTTATTTTATATATTTTTTAAAATTTATTTTTATGTGTGTGGGTGTTTTGCTTGCATGCATATCTGTGTACCACATGCGTGCCTGATATTCACTTGGCCAGAAGACAGTGTCAGATCTCCTGGGACTAGCAAGATAGACAGCTGTCAGTCTCCATGTGGATGCCAGAAATCAAATCTGGGTTCTCTGGAAGAGTTCTTGATGGTTGAGCCAGCCCCTGTCATTTCCTATTTTTTAATTTTTACCTACTAAGTTGGTTGTGATGATCCATCAAAAGTTAGTAATTTATCTTCCCATTAACCAAAAAGAATAAAAGCTTACACTCACCTCAGCAATTTTACTTCTGAATGTTTTCATTTCTGATGAGAAGGCTCATCCTCAGTGTAGATGGTATCACTCGCTTGGCTGAGATCTGACACTGCACAGAAAAGGGGGAAAAATGAGATGACACACTGAGTATTCATCTATCTCTGCTTTCTGACTGTAGATACAGTCATGCTCAATCATCTGGATTATTATATTATTATATAATTATATTATATAATTATATTTCATATAAATTCTATAATTATACATCTATATATTAAAGATTATATATAATACATAATTATTATATATTATAATATAAATGTACCTATATTATTATATAAACTGTAAATATGGAGCCTATTATAAATCAGAGGCTATCTGTCCCAGAAGTGATGTATTCTGTCTTTAGGTAGTATTTTTAGAAATGATAGATGCATCTAAAAATCCTCCAAGGCTGAGCTTTCACTCTGAACTTACAAGACAGGGTTTTATTTTATTTCCTTCTCTGGATCTCTTTAAGCACAAAGGGGAATAAACATTCAGCTTCTCTATCTATTCCCTCCCTAACACTGCCCTGAGTTTCCTGGTAATGATAGGCTCTGTCCTTTTATGCAAGTTATAAATTTCTTTCCTCAAACATGAAGCATGGTACATGCTTCCGATGTGTGCTGATCATTCTAAAATACAGTAGGACTAAAACTTACCATTTAATTCTTGGTAACAGTACCAGGATGCTGATGTGACAGTTGTTATTGTCAACATAATGGGCTTTAGAATCATCTAGAAGACATGTCTGGGAGTATCTGTGAGGGAACTTCTGAACAGATTTGACTGAGAAAGGAAGACTTACTCTGAATATGGGTGGTCAGGACAGTCTTTAGTGAGTTATTTAGTTTGTACACGGGGTTCCAGGGGACCAGGATGAATGGAAAGATGAGAAACAGACAGACAGACAGACAGACAGACAGACAGAGAATGAGCAGAGTGCCTACATTAACTTCTATCTGCTTCCTACCCGCGGAATGCCTGACCTACCCTTAAAGGTGACATCACTCAAACCTTGAGGCAGGATAAATCCTTCTTGCCTAAATTTGCTTTGCCTATCTCTTCCGCCACAACCAGGAGAGAATTAGCTCATCAAAATTAGCTAAAAGACTTGATGTGGGCTAGAGTGACGGCTCAGCACTTAAGAGTGTGTACTGCTCTACATGAGGACATGAGTTCTGTTCCTAGCACCGAAGTCAGGAAACTCACAGCTGCCTGTGACTCCAACTCCAGTGGCTCTGCTGCCTCCCTGTGGCTTCCTTGGGAATCTACATACACAAATACACATGCACACACATATGCATTTATATACAAAATGAAGCTAACAGCCACTCTTTTAAAGAGGATAGATGCTAAATTCAGCTATCTAGCTTTATCCTTTCCAGAAAATCTATTTGGACATACTTGGCCAACTTACTACGTCTTAGTTTCCATATCAAACCACAGATGTCTTCTTTGTTGAGCTACTAGAGGAGTAAGTACAGTCCTAGAAACCATATATAATATTCGTTAGAAAGGGAAGGTTTGCTCTGTATAGACATTGACAGGTAAAGAAGCAGCGAGTTAGTCTACATTCTCAAGGGACTTCCGCTTAAAATTGGATTTTACATTTCTTGGAAACTGACCTGTTCTTGCATTTGACTCTGGAAAGCCATAAATCATGTCCCGCCATCAGCACATAATTAAATATCAAGGGAAAAAAACACTCACTGCTCCTGGGGACAGGAATCTCTGCTATTCTGCTCCACCCTAATTTAGGCTATTCGGTCACATCGTTTTGGGCTCATGACTGGGTTTTTCTAGAGAACCGCTCTCCGCTTCCATGTATTGAATGCCCATGAGAAGCCTTCCATCGGCATCATCACCGAGGTCATTGATCAAACCACACAGGGGAGCAGAGTCTGAGACAGAGCCTGTGGCGATCAGTTAGAGTACATTGGGGGACTCATTTGCTCAGGCTGAAATCCACCTAACCGTCCTCGCTCACAATATTTCTTAATTTTGTTAATAAGATACCATGGGAGATATTTGAAGGAGGCTTATCTAGATATGAATGTCTATTATCAATTTATAGCATTATCAGTCTGGTAACCCCAAGTTAATTTTTAAAAAAAAAATTTAAAAAAAGACAAAATAAGCTCATTTGAGAGCAAGTTATTCTTGTATAACCCACAGGACTCTGGTAATTATTGCCTTCTCTGAGGCCTCGCAGACACCTTCTGATGACTCACTTGTATAACCTAAGGAGGTGATAATGGTAACTCGCCTTCTCTTCTTTGGAATCCGGCTTCCCTTTGAAGGTGGAAACTTTAATTTCTGTCACCAAACCCTTCTCCAAATCAACTGCTGAGGTGGATGATGACAGCTTAGAAGTTTCCTTCACAAATTCAGCTCTAATTTCTCAAGGTCTCCACACTTGAAACATTTATGGACACCCCTGAAATCACCTCATCAAGTTTTCTCTCCATCATACTTCCGGGTCCCTCTCTAGCACTCTCCAGGCAAAACTCTCACTTGGGAAACGTTGGAAACAAAAATCTGTTGTTCTATCATGAGGGTCTTGGTTTGTTTGCTTGCTTGTTTGTTTGTATCTTTGCATTTATGCAACTTCTGTTCTTTCTGAAGCTACCTGTCCAGATTGTTCTTCTGGGTCTGTGACATTTGGGAGTTTCTTTGAACACAGACCCTTTGTTTGTACGTCCAATCAAAATTTTTTATGAATATATACTGGATACCTATCATTTCTAGGTACTGTTCTAGGGATTGAGGATACAATAGTGAAGGAGGAATACACACACGCACACACACACACCACATGCATACATATACTACACACACAGACACACACATACACACAGACACACACACACCACATACATATACTACACACACAGACACACACAAACACACAGAGACACATACACACTACACACACATACCACACACACATACACACACACACACACACAGATGCATGCACACATACCATACCACAAGATTCATACATATATTACACACACAGACAGATCCACATACACACACATACCACCACACATAGATATACTATATAAATAGCTATATATACATACACACAGCACACACAAACACACATACACACACACCACACATACATATACCATACACAGAGACACATGCACACACGCACACCATATACACCACATATACCACACATACATATACTACACATACACAGGCACACACACACACATGCACAAACCATGTACACACACCATACAGACACATCACATACACCACACATACATATACTACATACCCAGACACATAAACACACCACACACATCACACACACATAAACACATAGACACACACAGACCACACACAGAGACACATGTACACGGACAAACACACCCCACATAAACCACACATACATATGCTAAACACACAGACACACATATATGTATACAAAAACACACAGATACACACACCACATCCCAGACCCCCCCACACACACACTTTGCCTTTTAGTCTATACTTCGTGGCAACTCATTGTTTACTGAAATGATCACCGCAATTTTCCCCCCAGGGTGGTTTTCCTTTACTGTGTTAAGCTTTGGGTAAATTAGCATCAGCTTGCCCTTTTGAGTTATCTCTTTGAAAGTTTTCTTTTTTTTTTAAATAATTGTGTGTATATGTGTCCCTCTGTGTTAATACGTGTGCCTGGCACTAGAGGTCAGATTCCTGTGGACTAGGGTTATAGATGGTTTTATGTTGGCCCTTGGATGCTACAGACCAAACCCAGGTCCTCTGCAATAGCAAAGCAGCAGGTGATCGTAAGCACTAAGCCAGTCCTCCAGCCTTTGGGATTATCTTTTCAATAGAGTCTTGGGGCTATCATCACCTTTTCTGGGAGATCGTTACTGAAACTGGGTGTTTGAATACTTATGTCTGTATTTAACTGTTCCTGATAGCATTTCTGTCCTGTAATCTTTCTAAGGTGTCATTAAATTAGAGAAAAATATGGCATCAATAGGCTGTATGCCCATTTATTATAATTATTATTTGTCTTTAAAGAATAGATCACATGTAGACCATGCTGGTCTCAAACTTGCTGTATAGCCAAAGACCCAATCTTTTGTATGGTTCCATTACTGTGCATGTTGTTTTTGTTATGGATTTTTTATAACACAATGTATTTTGCAGACTCACAAAATCTTTATTAAGTCCCTAACAAGCTATGATTTATTATCTCTCTTGTCTGCATGTGGTCATGTGGTTGACTGCTCATTTAAAATGCTATTGTCTTCTAGAAATAACCCGGCTCTGGTCTCTGGCATTCTTGTGGTGTGGACCTGGAGTATGCTTCAGTTTCCCCTTGATCTGGCAGGTAAATATTTTCATATGTGTGTAAATAAATAGGAAATTATTAGTCTTAAATATAAATCATACTAGCACAAAGGAGGAAGTTGAGTGAGGTCATGTTTTGATAGCCTAGTATTAGTCCTATTCCAAGGTTGAGACTCAGGAAAACCAAGTGTAGACTCACTTTGGTGTGTGGTGAACTTAAGATATGTAAGTGTAGCTACGCAAGGTCATCTGAACCTTTAATTCTAGCCCTCTGATGGTGAAAGCAGAAGGAGCAGGGATTCACACTCATCCTTGGCTACATAAAAAGTTTGAAGTCAGCCTTGTTTACATAAAATTCAATTTCCAGAAAGACCCCCCAAAATGAATAATAATAAATATTTGAAGAGTTAATTACAGTGATTCATATTCAACTCAGTTAATCCTTCTATTGCTTAGTGTCTGTAGTCCTGCCAAAATTAGTTGAGATATAGGTGCCTAAAGTTTTCCACCTGTGAAATGGGATGATCCAGCAGTTCCAGTGACGACTCAGTAATGCAGTGAATGCTTAGTAACTTGGCAATGTGTAGTCTCCATATTTTCATCCAATCATATCTTGAGACCCACATGTAATGTAAGAGGAACAATTTCAAGCCCCAGTGTGGAAAAATTAAGATTTCAATTAATGCCAGCTCTCATTCTAACTTTAACGATTATGTAAATCTTTAAGAGTTGGCAGGAAGCAAACTGTTCAGCTGGCCTTCCATATTAGTGCTTTCCTACACTATTGTAGTATTGCTGTATTGTATAGTAACCACCAGCTACACACAGCTGGATGGATTTGTACTACATCCAACCAAAGGAACAACTCTTCAGCAACACTGGCTGTTGATGGAGATATGCTTGTTCTTAATCAGCCGCCATCTTCCCAACTAGACAAGGCCTGAAATCGTGAACAGTGGCATGTTCTCACTGCTGCCAGGCTCAGGCCGCCCATTTAGGAGGCCAGAGACACCAGCCCTTCCACCCACAAGATACAAGCATGGGAGATGGCTCTGCCAATCTTCCCTGCTGTCTCCACAAGGCTGGGCTGAGCCCAGATCATCCCACCATCCACACGGGCCTGGTAGAAAATGAGACTCTAATGCTTAGCTTATCCAAAGGCTTTATATAGTTGGTAATGCTCAAGAACAAGATGCCCACACAATTGGAGATGTTTTCCAATTGACTAACCTAGATATAAGTTGTTACCCAGGACTGCTCTCCAAACCTGCGTGGCTCTCCATCCTCCTATGTCTCTGCTCCCCTTGCTCCTCCTCTTCCTTCCCCTCTTCCTCTCCTTACTCCTCCTCTTCCTCTCCTTACTCCTCCCACCTCAGCTCCTCTCAACTTACGGAGTTCCTCCACTACAATCAGCCCTGTTTTACCTACTCCTTTGCCCCATGTGGCTCCCAAGATGGACAGCAAAGGTACAAAACTGTTTTATGATCAAAGGACATTCTAGTAGTCAGTGCCAGCTTGGAACCACGCCATAACTCTTTGGCATGTTAGACATGTGACTCAGGAATTCCTCTCCTTGGTGCTTTATTCTGGAGAAGCCTGACTATTATAATTTTTTTTCTTTGCGACACTCTTCCTGGTGGCTTCAGGGTGGGGATAAGTTGGAATACGTGCATTTTGGGATCACAAGATGCAGAGGTCTTGAAAACACTGGTGGTCTTTTCTTAAGCACACGGTTTCCTGGATAAAATTGTTTCCCAGATAGATAGTAAGAGTTGCCTGGCTTTTTTTTAAATTAGGAAAGCAAACAAACAAAGAACAAAACTAAACAATCAAAACACAGTTTGGGCATGGCCATGCCCTCGTTTAATCCCAGAATTCTGAAGATAGGGGCAAGCAGATCTTGGAGTTTGAGGCCAGGCTGATCTACTTTGTGAGTTCTAGGCTAGCCACAGTGACATACTGAGATCCTTTCTCAAATAGAAAAAGGAAAAAAAAGAAAGGAAAAAAAGAAAGAAAAAAAAGAAAGAAAAAAAAGAAAGAAAAATGCAATCCAATTACAGATTATTAATCAAAAATCAATATATGCAAACAACTTGAAGAGGTTTTGCATATATGCAAACAACTTGAAGAGGTTTTGCTGAAGTAGGCCTTAGGAGGTACATAGTACTCATTACCCAGCCAGAAGCCAGCCAGCTGTCGTCCTGATAGACTCCTGGGCTCCATTTTTTATATATTGAATAATGTTAACCTTAGGGGTCTACCAGCAGCAATTTCCTGAGCATGGCTTCTTACAAATGGCTGTTACTGACCTTAGGTTCGTCTTTCATGGTCATTCACTAGCCTTCTCCTATCTTGTGGTTTACAGACTTGCTTAGAAAGTTTGCATTAAAAAAAAAAAGAAATTTGATGACAGTGTTAGGTGACAATTCCCTGCAGCTGTTGAAAAAACAGAGACCAAATGTCACTCCTGACTAAACTGCTATTGTATTCTCTAACAAGCGGTCCATTACGTTCACTCATATGAGAGCTGCCTCATGATAGTTGCGCGGCATTGCTGGATTGAGACATCCATTGTTGGAAAACTCCAAATTCGAGGCTTTATTCTTACAAAAAGGATTCTTTTCTACCCTTGACCCTGAATTAAATTCACATCGTAGAAATTAAAACAAAAGTTTCATCTGTTAATGGACTCTCCTTTTGTTAAACTGGAAAATAAAAACTCAAAAACCTATGTAATTATACTCGGTCTGTCATAAACTGGGAGACAAAAGAAGATGGAATTAGGACCAAATAAAATACTGGCTTTTATTCGGGCTCTCACACATACACACACCATCACCAACATTAGAAAAATATATTTAAACGTGAGTTAAATTTGAATTCAAATTCTAAACACTTGAGTTTTCCCAGCAGAATTAGCCCACGTGCGTCACGTACCTGGGCACAATGTAGAGAAAATGCATCTGGAACGGTCTGTGCTGGGAACTGTCGTTCATATTCTGCCCTTACTGGTCAAGAAAAATCACACACCCGCCTCACCCAAGAGGAAGAATGAAGAAGGAGGCTGAGCAGAAAGGGAGACAGGGTGGTATCCTAACCGAAAAACAAGCCAATGAGTAGAGACCCCTGTCTTAGGATTCATGGTATCACAGGTATCAGGAAAGAGACTAAAATGCCAGGAGGTTACGCAACATGGCCAATGTCACAGTGCTAGAGAGCGAGGGAGTCAGGGGAAAGTGCCAGGCTCCCTGACTTGAGGCCCTGAGTACAGCTCTCTGCAGCAAACCATCAACTATAGGTGCACACACAAACACACACACACACACACACACACACACACACAAATGCATGCACTCAGGCACTCACGCATGCGCACACAATTTCCTTTACACCTCCCTCTCTATATAGTTTTATTTAATGGATCGTTCCCTACAGGGAGGCTGGAAGACGGATGCTGAATCTTTAAAGTGGATGGAACCGCGTGACCAGAATCAGGGTGGGGCTGAGGTGGAGAGATGCCCCCCTGTTCCTCCACATTAAACTGGACAGTCATCCTTCCTCCTTCACAACCAGACCACCCTAATGACTGTCCCATGCCCCTCTCCATTATGCTTTTCAGCATGTTAACCGTTGTTTCTTCCATTTTTTTTTCAGTCCAGTTGAAACTTGTATGCCCTTCCTCAGTGAAAGCCAGGGGCTTCCTTAGGGTTTTCCTGTGTCAGTACAGTGCGGATCTATGGGCCATTGGCCTCAGCTTCTTCATCCAAGATGGTCCCTTCCTCGTTGTGCGCCTCGTCTTGATGATCTACTTCAAAGTGATCAACCACATGTTGGTGTTTTTTGCTGTGAAGAATTCCCTAGTGATGGCTCTGCACTTCTACCGGCTTGTGGCTTTGATCATAGCCACGCGTGACTTCATGCAAGATCATCCAGAAAGCCCCAAAAGGGTGCACAGTGGCCCAGACCAGCTCTCTGAGAGCGGGCCCAGTGAGTGGGAGGACGCCTCCCCGGAGGCTCTGCCTTTGGGAACCTCACCTGTCACCTCTGAGGAGTCTTACCCGACGACACCTTAACTATTGTTTCCAACATGGAGCCGCGAGGCTTGACTCATTCACTTCTTACCAGCCATATTTGCATACACCACTTTTAAAGGAAACAAGATGAGATGATCTTGTATCAAAGCCAAGGTACTGCTCTATTTTTTTCATCTGAGTGGAAGGAACTTTGACGACAAGTGGCTGTCGCTACAACCTCCTGCTCTGGTAGCGGACATTACACTGCTCCGAGAACCATTCTAAGTGATTGGTTCATATTGAACTGCTTGAAACATTGTAGACAGGACATCGTAGCACACCCACCAAAGATTTAAGGCAGACATTTGCCAACCCCTCCCCCATCCCTTGCTCTCCCCAGTTGCCTAATAGTACAGAAGTTTTTGATTGGTTGGACTATGTCACTCTCTCCTCCGATGTTTTCTGCAATGTCCCTGTGACATTTTTTTTTTTTTAAAAAGTGCATTTAGTGAATGCTGAACAAAGGAGAGAAAAATGCTTTTAAAATCAACTTGCCGTGGGCTGGAAGCTAGGAACTAATGCTGCCCAGCTTCCTCAGTGCAGAAAAATAGCTGTGGTATCTGCATAGGCCTTTACAGGAATCCCATTCTTCTGGACCAAGGTGAGAGTCTATCATGGTTCGTGTGTTCTTAGAGCATCCTTACGGCTTTGGGTTTGAGTAGCGCAAAGTTTACAGCAAGCCACCTGGGTTCTAGCAGCTTTGTAGCTAGGAGATATCAGTGAGACACCTGCAAGTCACACTTTCTACAGATCCATTGGTATTTGAATACCCAGTTACCTTTTTCTGCCTTATCGAGGTGCATCATGGAATCAGGACTCAAGGAGCACTAGCATGCACTGAGGAAGGTGTTTGAGGCCCCTTGTGTTACCATGGTTTCTGGTGGCTGCCAGCAGCCACAGCAGGAGCAGCAACAGTAACAGAGAGAGGCATGGGTCCTGGAAAATGCCATCCCTGGCCCCAGCTTGGTTTCAAGAACAAGTTGGTGGAAGGTGGTGACAGTCTCGTTCCTCCTGGGAATCATAGTGGCTTCATTTCCCACTAATGAATTAGTTTTTCTCTTCCACAGCTCTGTAAATCCTGGGTGGAAGTGACTCCAAACCTTTGAAAGTGACTCTTGCTTTTAAATACATGGTGAAAATGTGACTTGGTAATCTGTGAAACAACTCTAAATTTCAATGTTAGAATTTAAGGCATCAGTCGAGCCTTGCTAGAATCCCCAAGAACTCAAAGACATTTATTCAGAAAACTTCCTAAATTGGAGGCAACCATAAGACAATTAGTTGGGACAATGACTTTTTAAAGAAAAAAATCTATGAATTTCTGGTATGGTATGGTATGGTATTTACCCACCTTGTTTGATAACAAGTTTTATTAAAAAAAATCTATTTTATACAAAGCTTTAACTGGTTTTCTAGTAGTTTCTACTTCTTTTATCCCTCATGCTTTTTGTTTTTAACTGTGTCATGGTTGTAAAATGTTCAGGAAATGAATGGAATGGATTGGTAGCTTTTTATAATAAGTGTATGAAAGTTAAGGCCAAGATTGTATTTACATAAGGTGAAGAATGTGACAATTTTTAAAGGTGTACTATTCATAGTTCTTAGCAATGAGATTTGGGGACATATCCCACAGTTAAGAGCATGTACTGCTCTTACAGAGTATCGGAATTTATCCCAAAATCTCCTCAGCGGGTTTTACAACCACTTATAGCTCCAGCTTTGGGGACAGTCTTTTTCTAGCCTCTGTGAGAACTGACTGCATTCATGTGCATACACACACACACACACACACACACACAGAGAGAGAGAGAGAGAGAGAGAGAGATTTATTAAAAATAATAAAAATATTTTATAATAAAAGTCATCAATGGAAAGCAAAAAAGCAAAAAAAAAAAAAACACTATTTCTCAAACTGCCCCAGCCTCCACTAACTGTGCTGGATGCTTTATGTTGAATACATGACATATATGTGCCCCCATAACATATATGTGTCCCTATGACATATATGTAACCCCCATAACATACATGTGACCCTATGACATATATGTGCCCCTATGATATACATGTGCCTCCATGATATATATGTGCTCCAATGACATATATGTAGCCCCCATAACATATATGTGTCCCATGACATATATGTGGCCTCCATAACATAATATGCCCATGACATATATGTGCCCCTATGACATATATGAACCCCATGACATACATGTACCCCTATGACATATATGTGCCCCATGATGTATGTGCCCCAATGACATACATGTACCCCTATGACATATCTGTGCTCCTGTGACATATATGTGCCCCTATGACGTATATGAGCCACTCTTTACTGCCTGATTGCTCACAGCATATTTTTTTATGAATTTTGCCATCCAGAAAAACAAACACTGAGCCTCCAAAAATAAACCATCAAGTAGTATGACTGTTGCAAGGATAATTTTAAGTGCTTTCAAATCTGAGGCTTGGCTTGGTTTCATGAAAGACTTTCTTGTGTTTCAAGAAAGTATTCGGTAATTAGCCCTCCTCCTCAGGTCTGTCCAAAATCTGGCTTAACTTGGAATGCCAGGAAGTCAGAGAGCAACCAGGACCAGCTTGGTAATTAATGGATGGTCAAAAATAGACACATCGTCTTCAAGGCTTTTCCAGGAAAATCTGCTAAAGAGAGCATTTAACTTAACTGCCAGTGTTTCCATTCCCTTATGCTGGCTGCTTTGATCACAGGAAAAATGTCTGTTTGCTTAGTCTAGGTTTTATCTCTGATGAAATGCTAAAAATATACTCAGTTGTATGTTTATAATTATTATTTTACCCTTTAAAACTGTATGTTTTTATTGTAGGCTCATGCACATTGTAATGTTTTTAGATATCCAAGCGTTTGTCATAAACGGAACAGAATATCAGTCATCTCCCTTAGGTCGGCGTCTTGAGACTTGTTTACATTTTATTTGTAGAGAGATAGCTTAATCACGTAGGACGCGGACTCCATCCTCCGTCCCCGTCCACAGTACATGCCAAACCCCTCCCCGTACCTCCAAGGAGAGGGCTTCACTTGCAGTTGCTGGAGCTGTTGCTGGCTGATTAAAGCTCAATCAGCTATCCTTCCTGTAAGCATATTCTTCCTCTAGTGAGAAAGCCTGGCGTCCATGTTTGCTGTGCGATGCTGTGCAGGACAGCCTCAGGATCCTCCTTAGGCTTCGTGCATACTGAGTGAGTCTTAAATGCTACACCACTGTGCTTTAGATGAGCATACTACTCTGTCTTTGATTATTCCACCAAGTTTGGTTGCTGTTGTAAATGACTGTTAGAAATCGGTGGCTTAAACTTATCAATAACATTGAGAGCTTCCAGGGTGAAAGTGTAAGACAATTCTGCCACTGGCTCTGGTATCCCACAGGCCTTGAAGCCGTGAAGATACGTCCATGTGTTGACGGGATCAACTACTAGCACCCTGCATCTTTGTTCAATGGGAGCTTTTTAGAGTGTGGGGAAGAACGCTGTGGAGACGTGAATCTGAAAGGATTGCAATGGTTCCAACGTGCAGCGTGGACTCAAACCATCCCAGTCTTTTCCCACGAGGAACTCTTACCCAGATTCTCGAGTTAAAAGGGAGAACTGTTGAGACTCAGCCTGTCGACCTCTACTCCACAATTAGTTAAAATAGAAGGCAAAGGCTCACAGATCAAACAGCCTTGAATTACAAGATGAAAAGACACTGTTGGTTCTGTCCCTGTTTTCTCATTCTCGGCTTTGCCTTTCACTTAAAGGGACTTTTGATCCATCCTCAGACATCTCTGAACTTTCAGGATGGCGAGAGCAGCTAAACAATGACTGAAGAATGAGCCACCTAGGACTTGTACCTTATTGGTTTTTATCTTTGAGGTCTTCCTTACTGAAATCACTTGTGAGTGTATTTTCTGTGAATATTTCTAGATTTTGCTGGGACGGGCCTTTTTGTTTTATTAAGGACATTAAATATTTGTGTATGGCTTTCTCCCAGTGCCTATTCTTTTTTCTTTATCTACTTTTTGTGTTTCTCTTCTCTACTGCAACTCATTTCCTCCATGGTTTTTTAAGCTCTGCCTTAATAACTAAAACTGATCTATTCAGAAGATGATTAAAGTGACATTTCCAACCAGCAAGCAAAGAATGACCAATTTTATAAATGATGTTGGGAAAATGTTGTTACCCATCTGGAAAACATAAAGCGGGATTTTTATCTCATGAATTCTATAGAAATAAATTCCAGATGGATTAAATCTCGTCGTAAAATGAAAACTAAATATTGGATGGAAACACGGAATGTGTCTTGAGCGGGTGAGGGATGGGCAACATTCTCCGAAGCAAGACCTGGAACCTAGAAGCAATTGACTGACAGCCTTTTCTACTCAAAAAAACCTCATATTCATGGGGAAAAAAAGTGTCATAAACGTACCCATTAGGAAAGTATAAAGAGCTAGTGTAGTCAAGAAACAGAAAAAGGGGAGATATTGGGGAGGAAGAGCCAAAGGTATATTTACTCATGAAATATTGAACATCTAAAACAGCACTAAAACCTGTATAATAATTTAATATCTACCTTGAAAGTAAATAAGCTTAATAGCATGTACAAGCAATGAGCATCCAACAAATTTTTGAACAAATTTTCTTTACAATATGCATTATGGCCCTAAATTGTATAAATTTAAACTTCAGAAGTATAAGAAAAGTTTCAAATGATGCTCAGAGCCATAACTGAATATATATATATATATATATATATATATATATATATATATACATATATACATATATATCTTCCTCTATATACCTACCATCATCTCCTTCACGTTAGTAATGACTCATTTTTGCATGTGTATTATGTGTGTGCTACACATGCATGCGTGTATGTGTAAGCATGTGTGAGTGCCTTCACAGATACAGATGTTGTAAGTCTCCTCAGCGGCCTTTCACCTATCATTGGCTAAGCCAGGGTCTCTCGGTGAACCCAGCACTCACTAACTCACCCAGTCTACCCAGCCTGCTTGTCTCTGCTTCACACGACCAAGATTGCCTGTGATCCACCATACAGCAAAGAGAGTACAGGAATCCTGGGGATTCAAACTCTGCTCCTTGTGCTTATGGGGCCAGTGCCTTCTCCACTGGCCAGTGTCCCAGTTCCAAGTCTTTAACTTCCAGTGACAAGTACTGATTTTAACAACAGGTTTTCTGTTTTAGAGACTACTTCTAATTCTAAGATATCTTATAATGAAATAAGCACAGAAGAATAGCAGGAATGTGTTTTTTTAAGAGACAAATGAGAGACTGCGTTTAGTATATTAAACTACATTACACAGTTACAATAGACAAGAGAATTTGGTTCTGTCATCTGAATAGGCAAGCCAAAAATTTGAATGGAATACAGTCAATAAATATGCTGAACTACCCTAGGGATTCGGCTACATGATAAATCACAGGCCAGGAGTAGAATATTATGAATAGTTTAGGTTTGGTAAAATATTAAATTGGACCTCTACTTCAATCCATATGTTGAAAATGCTTCCAGATGGGAATCAAGCGATTAAAGATTAAAATTTAAAAAAAAAATAGAAAATGTTGCTTTTGTACTTGAAATGGCAAGAATGACTTTTTAATAAGATATAAAACAAGGACGCGGAAGGGATCCCCACGGCAGTTCATAGAAAATTACACATCGTAAGAACATCACGGCAAAGGGCTGAGCAGTGAACTAGGTCATAGAATTATAAAACAATAAACCAGGTGGATGGGCTTGCAACAAGTATACCTAAGTGAGAGGTGTCCTAAGGAACTAACAGCTCCTGTAAATAAGGAGAAAAAAAAGGCAAAATGTCATTGAAAACTCAAAACATAAGCAAAGGTCTTTATGCATATGGTTTAATACAGAGTGAATAAAGTAATGAAATAGACCACAATGCGTAATAAAATAAATAAACGTGTAAAAAAAAATCAAACTACGAGTAATCAGTTCTCACACGTTGTGTGGAAAACAGCCCACTTTTTTTCTTCAAGATGTTGCAGTAAGAGGAAGGTAAGAGAAGTTAGGCCCTGCTGTCCATGGATGGTGAGGGCACACAGCGGTGTAGTTGTACAACAGAACTCAGAGATGAAAACGAACATTTGTCATCTGACCTAGCAATTCCACGTCAAAGAAACCATCCTGAGTGTAGGTGTCCGAATACCCTGTGAGTGTGTTTTACTGTCTTTGTCACCTACCTAAGGCATTCTCTGATTGGCTTTCATAAAAACCTGATAACCAATTAGCTGTGCAGAAAGTGGAAGGCGGGACTTCCTGGGAGGGAGAAAGGAACTCTGGGAAGAAGAAAGAGGAAGAGGCTTTTACAGGGGATATCAGAGGAGATGGACATGAATGTGGGTCA